CATTACCACTGCAGCTACATCCACACAATGGGCCATACCCACCCAATTGGCCACACCCACCCAATGGGCCACACCCACCTGGCACCCAATGATGCATAAGTGGGTTTTGGTTTGCAGTTTGGGCACTCGGTCTCTAAAAGGTTCACCCTCACTGGTCTAGGGCTACCTGTACTTTATCACTTTTTCCCCCTTTTTGGTCAAGTTTTGACACCTTGCTAGGTGACCGGTGGTACTTTGATATTGCCATATCCTAAAAGTGGTACAATGGGTGAAAAGGTTGAAAAGCCCTGATTTAGGGTACCTGGCGTGGAACCTCTTTATCAATCTAGCTATTTTAACTGCCACCACCCATTCTACATCTGCTATAGGAGAGCCTTTCCATTGCACAAAGTACTGTAACTTTCTCCTGTGATGTCTAGAGTCCAAGATATCTTTAATCTCATAATGTTCTTCCCTTTTTATAAGGATAGGAGGCAGAAGGTTCCTCCAACCGGCCTTAGTTTGGAATCTCAAACAAACTTTAGCAGACTGCAATGAAACACTGGGTGGATGTGCCTAAGACTTCTGGGCATCCATAGCTCCACTGTTAACAGGTTTATAACCCACACAATAGAGAAAAGGCCTATATACTTAGGACCCAGCTTCTTTTAGGGCTGTCTTAGGTTTAAATTTTTGATGGACAAGTACACTTTATTCCCCACTCTGAACTCCTTTTGAAGGGCTCTTTTCCAATCAGCTTGCTTTTTCTGGGCTCCTCAGGCTTTCCCTAGAGCCTTGCGCACAGTAACCCGTGCATCCATTTTGCTAGTGTTGTGGAAATCAGGGTCCTGGTGGGAAGCTCCAGCATGGCTATGAACTCTATCCCCATAGCCACCTTAAAAGGGGTGAGTCCCATGCTGCTATGCACCGAGTTATGATATACCACCTCAGCAAACGGCAGCAGCTCAGCCCAGCCCAATTAGTCTGCTGATAATTTACATAGCATCTTAGGTATTGCTCCACCAGTGAGTTCGCTTGTTCTGCCACCCCATTAGTATTGGGATGAAAAGTGGAGCTAAGCCCCTGGGATGAGACTATCAGGCTTACAAACTCCTGCCAAAACTTTGCAGTAAACTGCACCAGCCCCCCCCCCCCAGTCTAAGATAATCCTCTTTGGTTCCATGCAGTCTTTAAATGTGCTGCACAAATATTTTCACTAGGAGCTGGGCTGAAGGGAGTTTTGGCATGGTATGAAATGTATCTGCTTGGAGAACAGGTCAACCACAGTCCATATTATAGTGATCCCACCATTCTCTGGCAGCTCAATTGTGAAGTCCATGGCTATCTCCTCCCATGGCTGCAGCAACCTGGGGGTTTTCCCTGGCAAGTCCTTCATAGTGTCAATGCTATAAACACTGGATGTTCCTGCTCTGACAACTGATGAAAATTGCAGCCATTTTCTCTTTGCTTTTAACATGCCTTTTCTGGTATTTAGAAATCAGGTGCAGAAGGGGGTGGGTGGGATAAATGCTTGAGCTCAGCTAGCCATAAAAATAACACTGCTTTCTGGGAACCAAAGGATGAACTGGCAGGCTGAGGAGCTGGGGAGAAAGCCCACATTTTAGGCTAATTGGAGAATGTGATTTATGACAGCTTATTGGGGTGGGAATTGCACTTTGTTACTTTGAATCTGGGGGAAGGGAATTTAGTTTTGGGGTTCAACTATGTAGTGCCGATACTTTATTTCCTGAATAAAATGTTCTCTAAGGAAGAATTTTTGCCTTGAAGATCTTTTTATTTTTTTGAAAAAAAAAATTATTTTTCATTTTTCAATACATTTGATACTTTCAACACATTATAAAAAAATACCTTTGAAATAAATTCATACATATAACCTTAAGTGTCGCTCGTCCATCTCCCCTCCGACTGCATCCGCCCTCTCTACCTTCCTTCCTTACTTCCCTCCTCCCTCTCTCCTCTCTTCACCTCTCTCCCCTCATCCCTTCCTCCCCTCATCCCTTCCTCCCATCCTACTTCCTTCCATCCCTTCCTCCTCCCCTCTCATCCCTCTTCGGATACAGTTCAGGGGAAATACTCTCTAAATTACTCTATCTATTTTATACATTAATATTTCTGTTTATCTAACCTACTTAATCCCACCCATCCCCCCTACCCTCCCCCCACTTCCTGGAGCAGAATACAGGGTTATTGTAAACAAAACAAACACAATCTATAACTTTTAAAACAAAAAAAAATACAATAAACAAATTCATACTTAACCCTTAACTCCCTCTAAACTTTAACATCATAATAATGTAAACAAATCTATTATAAATCATTTATTATAAAATTCTATAAATAATAATTATTATTTCTTTCAAGAAAAAATTTAATCATAAAATAAATGGAACTTTAAAGTTCCATATTTATTCCGAATATAATCTATCCATCTTCTCCATACCCTAATATATTTTTCTTGTGTATGATCCTTTAAATAAGCAGAAATCTTTGCAATTTCTGCTAAATTGGAAACCTTGAATATCCATTCTTCTAAAGTAGGCAATGAATCCTTCTTCCAGTATAAACCTACAAGTAACCTTGCTGCAGTTATTAAATTCAACATTAAAATAGTTTCATTAACATCTAAATCCATAAAAATACCCAATAAAAATAATTGAGGAGTAAACTTTATCTTCTTTTTAAAAATCTTTTGAATGTTCCACCAAATCATTATCCAAAAAGCTTTAACATTCTTACAGGTCCACCAAACATGAAAATAAGTTGCATCAGTACTACCACACCTCCAATATTTGGGCTGTAAGTTAGGATACATACAAGAAAGTTTTTTAGGATCCAAATGCCACCTATAAAACATTTTGTAAAAATTTTCCCTCAGATTTTGGGCCTGTGTAAATTTAACATTTCTAATCCAAATAGTATCCCATAAATCCAATAAAATCGGTTCCTGGATATTCTGGGCCCATTTAATCATACAGTCTTTTACTAACTCTGTTTCCAAGTCCAGTTTTATTAACTCGTCATAATTTTTTTTAATATGAGCATGATTCTGATCTTTAATCTGAATTACCAAATTTTCATCCCCCAATGTTATTCCAACTTTCTTATCTACAGTCCACCTATCCACAACATATTGAAACTATGACCATAAGATATTTTCTTGTCTTAGTACATCTAAAGATTTTAACTGCCAATCAGTACCTAACCAAATTAATAATTCCTTATAAGAAATTTTATCAAAATTCATCCCCTTAGAAACTCCCTCAATTACATGTCCAGGAACCCCCCAAATAGGTATTTTATAATTTAACCTATAATAATACTTCTTCCAAACTCGAAGAAAAGCATTTCTTAAAATATGTGATTTAAAAGCCCGATCTACTTTCTTATTAAAAATCAAATATGCATGCCAACCATACAATAAATCCCACCCTTCAAGAGAAAGGACATTTTTATTTGTTAAATTAAGCCAATCGCTTATCAGAGTTAAGGTGGCTGCATCATAATATAATTTCAAATTAGGTGCTTTAAGCCCACCTCTTTCTTGGGCATCTTGCAAAATCTTAAACTTTACCCTTGGTTTTTTCCCAGCCCAAATAAATTTATTAATACCCTTTTGCTACTCATCCAGGTTTGTATCTTTTTTTAAAATGGGTAACATTTGAAACAAAAAAGAAACTTTGATAGAACATTCATTTTTACCGCTGATATTCTCCCTAACAACAATTGCAACTTTTTCCAATCATTTAAATCCTTTTGTAACAATTGCAACTTTTTCCAGTCATTTAAATACTTTTGCCCATAATAATTCATAATTATTCTTATATAATTTTCCATTAGAAGCTGTTATATATACCCCAAATATTTAACCTTTTTTACCATCTGAAAACCTGTAAGTTTAACTAAAATTTCATTTTCCTTATTAGACATATTTTTAGATAACATTTAAGTTTTATTATTATTTATTTTAAAACCAGAAACTTTCCCATACTGGGATATGAGTTTCAACAAATGACCAGCTACTTGAGTCGGTTGTACTAAAGTTAAAACCAAATCATCTGCAAAAGCTCTCAATTTATACTCATTCCTTTTTACTTTTATTCCCTTAATTACCGTTGACTCTCGAATCTGAATTAACAAAATCTCCATTGTTAAAACAAACAAGAATGGGGATAATGGACATCCTTGTTGTGTTCCCTTTTCAATATTAAAAGTCTCTGTCAATCTCCCATTAATAATAATTTGAGCAGACTGTTGCTGATATATAGCCTTGATAGCATGTAAAAACTTATCTCCAAAATTCATTTTCTCTATCAATGAAAATAGAAATTTCCAATCTAATTGGTCAAAAGCTTTCTCAGCATCTAAAAATATAAAGGCCACAGGAATCTGATTATTCTTATCCAAATACTCTATTAAATTAAGAATTTGTCTTACATTGTATTTCATATATCTTCCTGTTATAAATCCTGATTGGTCACAATGAATCAAATCCTTCATTACCTGCATTAATCTATTTGCCAAAATTTTTGAAAAAATCTTATAATCTACATTTAAAAGAGATATAGGTCTATAATTCTTAGGCTCAGTAAGATCTTGATCCTCCTTCGGGATCAATGATATAAATGCCCTTCTCCAAGAAGGGGGAACTTGAGCTCTGTAGAGGTGAGAGACAGGCAAAAGTCATGTGCAGAAAACTGCCCTCCCAACGCTTGTGTCTTTTCTCTGCATCTATCTTCCCCCCCTCTCCTCACATCACCATGGTGATGTGAAAGTGCGCAGGTCTGTGTGACCTTGCCAGTTTGATAAGGCTGGCTGGTGAACAACAAGTTTCCCTATTTATGGCCTCTAGCTTTTTACTCTTGAGGATTGGTAAAGGATTTTAGCCAATGAAATGCTATTGCCATGCAGTATCTTTTGCTATTTGTAAAACTCTATAAAAACAAATAAAGGCTCTGAGCGGGCGGCCATTTCTTTGCACCCTTCAATGACTAAGGACTGATTACTACAGCTGGCGCCCTCAGCAGGGACATTTTGTTTTGGGACCCCTACGGGAAGAAGCAGTTGCCAACATACTTACCATCGTCTGGAACAGACCCCTAAGTGCACTTTCGTCTTACAAGACCCCTCAGTGAGTAAGTATGGGCTGCAAGTTATCTTGGCCCCTGCAAAAGCAAGGACAGGCATGGAGGAACTCAGATTCCTCCTCTAACCTGGGGCAGACACAAGGAAGCTGGTGGGCTGAGATAGGAAAACAGTGTTCTTTGAATCCTGAGCATCGGATGCTTAGGCTAAAAGATAGAGCATAAATTACATCTTGAACCTTGGGCTTCAGTATAAACATCTATAGTGTTCAGTCCTGTCAGGTAAGGAAGAAAAAAAATGGACCCAAATACTTCAGAAGGGCAATTAACTATCAGCCCCCTTCTGCTTGCAACTAAGTAAAATTTATTCCTTCTAAAAACATCTTTAATTGGATTTTCAGCTTCTTCTGAAGAGGCTAATTCTTTGCTTATTAGTTAGAGTCATGAATCAAAATGTACTCCCTCAGAACAAAGTCTTTTGAGCAATCAGAGTGCTTTGAAACTTTGCAATCTGTTAAGTTTAACCTTGTTGTGTTTTGTGTTACGTGTGTGTGTGTGGCCACTCAGAGCATTATGCTTGGGCTTGGAATGGTGAGAAAAATGGGAGATGATTAGGGCCCTCAAAACTACTTTTTGGTTGAAATCACCTTGTCATTTTTCTCGCTTCTTGCAGGACAAGTTATATGTCTAAATAAATGTTGTTGTAACAGTATTTGTGTATATACATTTGTCTGTGTTGTTCTGTGTAATTCCAAGACTTGGAAGAGGCTCAAAGCCCTCTCTGATAACAGCAATACAAAAAGGCCTTGCTAAGAATATATGGTTTGCCTGGACAAAGTATGAAATGAAATAATTGTATGTGGAATGGTTTTATGCAAACAGTGAGTATGGAACTGAATGAGTTAATTTGTTGAAGTGTGTGTTAGCCTTCAAAACCCACCCATTTTTTCCCTAACTGTGAAAATAATAGCAAATATTTGTATGAGAATAATTTCATGGAGAATGTATGAGAGAATTTATTAAAAAATGCATATGAAGGAGATGAAACTATTTTTTGGTGGTGAGATTCCCCCCCCCTGTCTCTTTCGGTTGGCTGCCTTGTTTAAAGAGCCAGAGACAGGAAGGGGGGGGGGAACTGTTTGTTTAAAACTTTTTTTCCTCTGCTTGGAATTGTAATCTGAGAAGAGTGGAGTGAATCTGAAACTTGACATTCACCTATGCAGTTTCGGCAAATAAATTTTTTTTACTAAAAAGAGAAACAGTAATTGTTGGACAATTTTTTAAATATCCAACAACCAAAAGAACTAACTGAATTATTTTGTTATAGATTTATAAATGTTTAACCTATTTATATAAAAATTGTTTCCATCTGAATGGACTTTGCTTAAATTGAAGCACCAAAGATACAATTTAATTGGCTTTCAGAAAATATAAAATGATTTAGGATTGCAATAAGTCCCAGAAAAAATATAGTTGCACAAATTGATGACATCATGAATATTCAATTTGTGGACAGAATTCCACACTTTTGATTTTTTCCTACTAGTAAATTACCTAATGGAGTATTAACTGTAATAAAAGTGCAGAAAGTATATTGAATTGAATAATATTTACCTACCATATCCCATCCCAAAATGTTTTATTTTTTATCCAGGTGGTTGCTAAAATGATAACCTTAGGATGCACAAGAGCTTGCCGTCCAAAAAGGAACTGATTTAATTAATATTGTTTTCAAAAATAACTTATCTCTTTAATGTGCTTTAACTGACTATATAGGCTGTATTTCATATCATTTGCCTAATGATCTTTGACTTGCTTGTTTAATGACTTTTTCCTTTCCAGTCCAGTCACTACTTTCTTCCTCTTTCTCCCTTGCCACAAGTTATTGCTTTTTCTGATGGAGGAAAAACGAGAGGAGCAATTGCTTACAAGGATGATACCTGGAAAGTGTCCTACACTGCAATGCAACCCTTATCACAATGCTCAGAATTATTTTAGCTTTTCAAACCTTTTCTCAACAGTCTTTTAACTTAATCTCTGACTCTCATTATGTGTGCCAACTTACTTTTACTTCTTCAGGTGCTTACATCACGCCCAGGATTGACCCCAGTCTTATGACTTTGTTTTTAACTTTGCAGCAGCTGCTCCAAAACTGAAAGCATTTATAATTTTGTTTCTCATAAACACAATCACTCCTCCCTTCCTGGGCCTAATTTTTTTTGGGTATTTTTTTTATGTCTTTTATGTGGTTTTGCCTTTAATCAACTATGACAAATGGATGTTATCAATGTTCTCTTTTTTTTTTGGCTTCCTAGAAGTGTATATTCATAAATAGGTATTTAGGAACAATTTCCCCCACCTCTATGAGGGGAAACAGCTTCACATGTTATTTTTATCTTTTTTTGGCTGTTACAGCCCTGGGTAAACCCTCTTCCCTAAAAACTGACAATGGGCCACCCTATTTTTCAGTGGCCTTTTTACAATTTTATACAACCTGAAATATTGTTTTTACTCATGGTCTTCTCTATAATTCCATGGGTCAAGCTATCGTGGAACGTGCTAATTGGTCTTTCAAGGACTGCCTTCACAAACAAATAAAAAAGGACGGATTATCTAGGGTACCCAATTTGTCGTGGGTAATCCAACAGGTTCAAAAAGTATTATTTACATTACACCAATTGAATATTTCCATTCAAAATTTGACTGCTTATCAGAGACACTTTCAACAGAAAACAAGCTTCCCTCCATCTCTGGTATATTATCAGGCATTACCAGACAAAGCATGGTTAGGACCAGTCCCTCTGATCACTTGGGGGCGGGGCTACGCTGCTGTGCTTGCTCCAACAGGACCTTTGCGGATTCCAGCGCGTTGTGATCACCCAGCCAGGGATGTCGTGGCACCAGTCCCTGGACCCAGTCCCAGAAATGGCAAGGGTGACTCTAGAGATGGCACAGCAAGTAATCCAATCCTGACATGCCAGGCAGCCAGTGACGTGGGGAGATGTAAAGAACTTGATCCCCGAGAACCTGTGCGCTGCCATTTTTGCAGCTTTTACTGCAAATTTCTTATCCATCATTTGTTTATGTCTGATCGTTAACATCTGCCCTTTGACAACTGTAACTGTCATCCCACTCAAACAATCATTCGAACAACGAATGAAGCAAAATCTAACATCACACAAAATGACTTCTTTTGTTTATCTGAAATAATAATAATAATAGTACTAAAGTTGGAAGGGACCTTGGAGGTCATCTAGTCCAACCCCCTGCTCGGGCAGGAAACCCTACACCATTTCGGACAAATGGCTGTCCAGTCTCTTCTTAAAAACATGTTTAGTCTTTGTTTGCACCCCAAAACTTCACTGACTCTGAGAGGTTATTGCTTAAAAAACCTCACTGTCATCGCATTGGCTCACCTGCTTTAAACTGCAGAGCTTCAATAGAGACTTCCTTTCATTTTGGACATGCTTGGCTACTGCAAGGAGGGTTTTTTACGTGTGGTCAAGAAACTTTAAATTGTATTCCTGCTAATATTAGTGAAGCGCAATGTTGCCTCAGCCAGCTGATTCCTATTTTGCTTTCCAAACAACAAGTTCACATGAACCATTCTCCACGTGGTGTCATGCTAGACAATACTTATGACTCTGAGACAACCTTACTTTGTAGCATTGGCTATATCTCCAGTGGGCGTGCAAGGACTTGCTGTTCATGCCCACCTCAACATTAATGCTATTACATGAAATTTGGCAAAAACAATTAATACTACTTCTTCAACTATTTCATCGGTCAACCATGAACTGCAAAATTTGAGAACTATTTTGCAAAATCACGCTGCAATTGATTATTTGCTTCTGCACCAGCATTTGGGTTGTAAACGTTTTGAGGAAATGTATTGTTTCAATATTTCTGATAATTCATGAACCATCCAGCACCAGATTTATATTTTACACAATTTGGCCTCTGATTTGAAAATTGGTACCTTAGGATCTTTATGGGTGCTGTTTATGTAATGTCTTTCTTTCATTTTGCAATATATGTATTAGAGCTTTAAATCCCAGTAGATTCTCTCTCACATTGCCTCAAGTTTTGGCCCTATATTAACAACTGCAAGGATGCTCCTCTCCTGATTATAATTCTTTTATTAACCCCGCTTACGGTGATATTTTGTCTAACAAAACAAAAAGGAGTAAGATGTAGAAGTGAGAGACAGGCAAAAGTCGTGTGCAGAAAACTGCCCCCCAACGCTTGTGTCTTTTCTCTGCATCTATCTTCCCCCCCTCTCCTCACATCACCATGGTGACATGAAAGTGCGCAGGTCTGTGTGACCTTGCCAGTTTGATAAGGCTGGCTGGTGAACAACAAGTTTCCCTGTTTATGGCCTCTAGCTTTTTACTCTTGAGGATTGGTAAAGGATTTTAGCCAATGAAATGCTATTGCCATGCAGTATCTTTTGCTATTTGTAAAACTCTATAAAAACAAATAAAGGCTCTGAGCGGGCGGCCATTTCTTTGCACTCTTCAATGACTAAGGACTGATTACTACAGAGCTCCCAACAAAATACTATTAAAAAGCTCCTTTAATGGCTCCATCATCTCCTCACCTAAAATTTTATAATCCATCTGTTCCAGGAGACTTTCCCACCTTTAACTGCTTGATAGCTAAACCAATTTCCTCTGAAGTAATTGAACAATTCATCACATTTTGTTGTTCATTAGAAAGTTTAGGAAAATGCACTGATTGTAAATACTTTTCTACTTCTGCAACATGTATATTATCACTAACATATAATTTTGTATAAAAATCTAAAAAACTTTTTTTAATCAAATTATATTGAAAAACCTCAGTACCTTTATATTTTATTTTCTCTATAATTCTTGCCTTTTGTTTCTTGGGTAATTGATCAGCTAACCACCTCCCAGGCTTATTTGTGTTAGAGAATTTTAATTTCTCTATTGGTGATAAATAAATCAGAAGCTCTCACAGTTGACTGCATTTAGCTGATTCAAATAACTTTATATTTTTATAAAAATATTTACAATACCATTCTTCTT